TGACATAATCCTAATTCTACCCTTGCTCCTATTGGATGGGAGTTTAGGAAGAGCCTCCTGAAGGAAAACAAACAGAATCTCTAAAAGTTACAAAGAGACGAGATCTCCTAGATAAAAGGGCTTGTGAGTTACAACAGAGAATTTATGCATAGTAAGTAGGCAATAGGGAGCCAGTGAATCTCTTTGAGAAGGAGAAGTACATTATCAAAATGGAACTTTAGGAAGGTGAATCTGGAAGGATAAAGTATGAGGTGGACATACTGAGAGTAGGGTGGTGGGAGGAGACAGATGGTGATGGGACAGCCAAGTGAGTGACCATCAGAGCTAGTGGCAGTGTTGTCATGACAGGCTTGCAGTCAGAAGATCAATAACCAATATTTACTGGCTTAATACTGTGTTCTAATGCTCACGCTGACCAAAAAAGGAGCCGACTGCTGTCCCAAGTTAGCAGAGACAGAAAACAAAGCAGAGGGGAATTAAGTACATTATCCAAGGGTCATAGCTTGTCAGAGATCAAACTGAGACTGAAGCCCTGGTCAGCCCAAACCTGAAATCCTTATTCTTTCTAATATTCCTGTGCACAAATTGTCACCCACCTCCTGGTTATTGTGATATCTGCCCCACAGAAGTAGGTGAAAGCTGGTTTCTGTTTTTCTTCCACAGCACATGCAGGGTTAACCAAGAAGAAGGCTTTACATGGCACTGTGCTTTGTTTGCTACAATTTGACTTTCACTTCTGCAGTAAAAAGAAGTCCCCTGTGACAGTTGCTGAGGTTACAGACTTTCAGCTGACCAGGAGGGGTGGACATTGCCATTCAGAATTGCCTACACCCTAAAGCTCTCGGGTACCAACTATTCAGGCTCTGAACCCCAGATACTTTTAAAAGACTGAAGGTTACTGTGGTTCTAGAATCACTGGGGGAAAATGGTGTGGTTAGTGCTCTGGGCTGGATTCCAGTGCTTATATACAAATGTGTGCACACACTTGTGTACATGCACACACACAGAAACATTGAACAAAATATTCCATCAGAGATTTCCTAGATCAACTGGAGACATGACATTGACTGTTCTTTCAGAAAACCATTTCTTATTGAGTAGCTAGTACACATTAAGGTCATATGAAGCACATGCATTCTAGGTGAATTAAAATATGAAAGTGGCCTGTGTGATCATACAATGTGATGTTCTCATGAATGGTGTCCTTTCATCTTCATCATAGCTTAGTGTTCAGAAATCAGTTACAAGTCCCACATAAACACAGGAGAGGGGATATGGAAGGACAAAAACACCAGGAGAAGTAGGCCTTGGCATTTTGAAGTGCATTCATCACAGAAGCAAAAGTTTCAGCTGCGGCTCAGAGAAATAGAACCAACATGATATTTTATGTGTGCCTGTGTATGCATGTGAGAGAGGTTTATTATAAAGTGTTGATTTGTGTGACTATGCAGGTTGACATGGTCCCAAATCTGCAGTAAACAAGCTAAAGATCCAGCTGCAGACAGTATAGCTCTGCTTGGGAAGTCCAGAGCCTTGAGACCCAGGGAGACCCCAAATTTTGATTGGAATCCTAGGACAGACAAAGAATAGTGTTCCAGCTTGAGGCCATCTGGTAAGAGGAGTTTGCTCTTACTCCCAGGAATGGCTGCCTTTCACTCATACTATCCAGGCTTCTGCTGACTGGGTGGAACCCACCTGCACCGGGAAGAGCCATCTGCTTTACTCAGTGTACTAGCTCAAACGTTCATCTCACCCACACTACCCTCACAGACACATCTGGAATAACAAATATCTGAGCGTGTGCAGCCCAGCCCAGTGAACACATGAAATTTCCCACTGTACTGAGGTCTTCCAGGAGCAGTGAGTGAGCAGGGAATGAGCCTGGGTTAGGCTGACATGTGAGAGGCCCTCAGAGTGCACAGTGTAAGGAGGTGCTCAGTCCCAGGGCTGTAAAAGTGGAGGGGTGGCACCTGGGAATGAGCGTGTGCTCAGGGCACCTTAAACCCTCATTAGTCGCAGTCTTAATGAGAAGAACACAAAGAACTTGACTTCATCCTAAGGGACCCTACAAATCTGACGGTGAGGGAAGGGAGCATGTGTTCACATGCATGGGACATGCTGCCAGGAGACAAGGGACTGATATGACGGCTCTGGCTCTCAGACAGGACTTCCAGGAGTTGGCCTTCCAGATCCCACAGGTGGGAGGGATGCACCAGGGATCCAGTGGGCAAATACAAGCAGCCCTTGCCTGGATACTGAGAAGAGGAAGTGCAGAGCATCAACACTAAAATGAGAGTGTTACTAGAAAAAGACATCCTACTTAGGTGCTGTGATTTTATCCCTAAGGACAGATGTCCAGGAAGATAGAGTAATATCTGGAAAACACTGAAGGGATATTATTGGCTATCTGATGAGAGCAATAAAAAAATAATAAGTATCCATTTTTGAGCACTTAATATGGTAGTGCAGGTCCGTACTAAGCAGAATTGGCATTTAGCAATGACACTTAAGTAAGACTTGCAGACATACTAAAAATATATTGCTGGCCCCTGATGGACAGGCAAACTGGCACTAGGATGGATTGGGTTGGATAAAATAAAGATGAACATGGCAATTAGTAAAATATATTGGAAAATGCATTTAATAATCAATTGCAAAAAATTAATAATGATTGCTATTTTGGGTTTTAAAGGTGTTGGAACTGGAATTAATAGCACGGAAGATACAAGGATGTTTAATTAGTGAAGTGTCTGAGGTAATTTGTGCATTATAAAAACAATGGAGATAAATAAGACATGTAGAATTTGTTAGAAAGATGATTAGCTGAGTGTGACTAAAGGTGAACAACAGAGGAGGGAAGATATTCATCATGATGAGAGAGGAAATATTCATCATGATGTGGCAGGCACACAGATCATGTACATGCTAGTAAGGGATCTCCCATGTAGGCACAGCGTGAATGGAGAAGTAGAAGTCTCCTTTTGCATGGGTTTACTAATTTAAATTACAATATATTCTTACAGTGTAATTATTTGTGACAATGCTAAGATTCACTTCAGATATTATTCCCTAGAAATAGGTGGCTCATATAAAGCCAGGACAGGGTGCTTTTAGGTGAGGGACCCCGTCATTTGGGAGCTTCATTGCTGGTCATGGAGAGAAGCTGCTTGATGAGAATCCCAGTTTTGCTTCCCTTAGCAATGAGCATATTTTAGACCGGACACTATTTGCGTTCCATGAATTTGCATGAAGGGTTGCAACTGGCCAGGCTTTAACAGATGAGCATCCAGCAGATGATGGGCTGGGCTAGGCAGGTGAGGGGTGGGAGTCTGGAGAGGACTCAAACACAGAGCAGGTCCAGTGAGAAGGTAGAGAGTCAAGGCCCTTCCTCTTGTTTTGACCTTGAACAAATGAGTTCCCTTCTCTGTGTGTCAAACTCCTATTTATAAAATCACTGCCTTGTGAGGTCACTGTGAAAATTACATGCAGTGATGGACGTGTTTATAGGATGTCTCCCCTGATCAACGACAGGCCTCCAAAAGCTGATCAGAGCCCTCACATCCTTCTCTTAGTTTTCTCAGTCACTTCATTCCTTTGAAGGCAGATGCCAGGTTCTATTCATTTTTCTTTTGTTCCCTAGTATCGTGTTAAGAACATGGTCACACCCTAATAAATATTTCTTAACTGAAGTAATAGAGATGGGACGAAATTAGAGTGGACTGCAAAGATGCAGGCTACACATGATATGATTGAAAAACAATAAAAGATATCATCCCATTAAGAGATTTTCTAGAAATATAAAAATTCAGAGAATGAAGGATAGGAGTAGGCAAGCATTTATGAAATACCATTTTTTGTGCCTGACACCATGCAAGCCCTCCTACCAAATATTACCTCATGAACTCCTAACAACATGGAGAGGGAAAATATTATTGCCTTCTTCTCCAAATGAGAACCTAGACGTTCAGAAAAGCAAACTAACCACTCCAGGTGATCTGAGGGAGTGTCAGGGCCAGGGAAAAAGAAGCCCATTCTCCCTGCTCCTGTGGCCCCTCCTTGCTTTCTCATTCAGCCCCTGCCTAGAAGGCAGCACCTCTGCCCACCTCTCATTTCTCCTTTGTTTTCTGTGCCACATTGACTGAGCTGTATTTACCATGCTCATTTCTAATTACAGCTTGTAAGCCAGTGCTTTGAAAACCACAATTTATTTTTCCAGTCAGACCAAATAGAAAACACAACTGTGTGCTTAAATACTAATTAACCTTTCATATCTTGCATTCTCTCTCTTTTCTCTCTCTCTCTTCCATGCTTGCTATAATTTCTTTCGTTGACACCATAACTGAAGGTCAGTAGCACAATTATGTGGACTTCTGAATTTGAACTTAGACTTATTTAGAAAGAAAATACCACTTTCTACCCTGGAAAAGTCACTAAGATATATTTTTTCTGCATCAAGGATCCTGAGATCCCTTTGCTGTGGGGTTTGCACAGTTCATGCTAAAGACAACTCTATTGGGATCATGCTGAAGTCAGTCCCAGTGGCCACAAGACTTTCCCTTCTCTGAATCTCTACAGTGTAAAGAACATGTACTTTGGATTCAGACAGCCTACCCACTTAAATGAACTTAGTTCCTCTGCCTAAGCCAGGTTGAGGATAATTCAATTAACAGCCAGATGTCAGCATGGAAACATACACTGCACGTATAGTATTGCCTCCAACACTCAGTCCGCTGTTACTCTCTTTCCAACTCTTCTTTTCCCTCAGCCCCCTTGTCCAGTTATAGGCCTGGTTTGCATTTGCATGCTTGCACTGCCCGTGTGGTTAGGTGTGGTATTACCTAGACCCCCAAACCTTCTGAGAACACAGGAATGCACATCTCTCCCCATCCAAGTTCTCCACTCAGAAAGTCACTACCCTATGTTTTCAGTACTATCTTTTGATGAACCCTAATGATGTGTTCAATTTTGGTCTATTATGCTTACAGGGATATTCAGACAGAGACACCATGAAATGTTTTTTTACAAAACTCCAGAAGGAAAGTAAGGAATATGAGAAGACTGGTTATCATGAAAAATGGAGAAAAGCCAGGAGTTTCTGGAAGAAAGAATGGTAAATTGAATCAAGTAAAACAGAGAAATGTAATAAAGTAATAAAGGGATGTATTTATTGGGTTTTGTAAGAAAGAAGCCAATGTTTCCCTTTGTCAGATACATTTACGTGGGCGAGAGGGCAGAGACAATCAACTGTACTGATGTCAAGACAAAGTGGGAAGAAAGAATATGAGGAAGTAGAAATCTGTTTTCTTCCAAAAGCCTAATACAAGCATGGCACACAATGGGCTCTTAGTAGATAATATTACTAAAGGAAAATGGGAGAAAGAACCAGGCTGAGGGGTAGGGACCTCAGTGCATTTCCTTGTAAACATTTCCTGAAGATTTTGTTCTCAAAAGGAATCCATAATCTAACTAGAAATGCAACTGCAAGTAAAAAGCACAGCATGACTTCTACAACATACACAACTAAGTAGTAAATTAAGATTTAATATAACGGGATGTAAGGAATGAGGCTGTTTGTGTTCTTCATATACCACCAAATAATTGAAATTTTTCTGATGTTTTTAGAGTCCTTGGATTTGAGGTCAGAATCTCCATTTGATCAATAAATGAAGAGGTGACCTGACTTTGGTATTAATTTACATTTATCAAATTCCCTAGTGACTGATATGCACTCATTTATTCAATGGATATTGATTGAGCTCTTACTCTGTGTAAGTCAGAATGTTCCTTCATGAGGTCACAAGGACCAGGATGTATAAATATGATGAAGATCAGAATACATACATCTATTGGCAGAACATCTGCCAAATGAAACAAAATTACATCGAAATCCATTAGTACCAGTCCAACAGTTGTTGCCATTGTGGATTTGGAAGGAAGAAGTCACTTGGCTCATCTTAATGACCATGGACTTGAGCAATGGTAGGCTAATGGCTCCATTTTTTATGTCACAGATTGTCCATCTCAGTCCACCAGATATTGGCTAGAAGACAATTTTATGTCTCCTGTGGATTTTGCTAGAGAGGCAAAAAGTCACTTTCATAGAAACTTCTTTGCAATCCAAGTACAAGGTCAGACTCAAGAATCGGCAATGGTAGGGCAAGAGAACAGAGATCCTACCATCCTCTCCTGCTTAGCTCAGAGCAAGGATTGCTATGGCAAACAGAAACACCAAAATTACACCCAGGACTTAGAGGAAGATTTATTTAATATCAGACAGGCACTGACTAGGAATCAATTGTTCCTTAAAATGTCAGGCCCAAGGGCTCAGGGAGGGAAATTTCTATGGGTTGCAAGCAATAAGCAGGGTACTTGGCTGTCTTTGATTGGTTCTTACAATATGCATCAATGTGACCAGCTCTGCATCAGAATGACCAGGCATTTCTAGGAGACAGAAGCAACTGGAACTGCAACAGGAACTGTCATCTAGGAAACTCACAAACTGGCTATGGGGCATTTTTTTTGCTACAAAATGAGGTGAATGTTTTGAATGGGTCAACATACAGTGAGTTCCCTGGGATGTGACACTGAGAAAGAAGATGTCAAGTTGTTCTAAGCTCACTTATTCCAGGTGCTTTTCTCTTACTTCCCCTGCTTCTTCATCTGACCCAGCCTATACAGAAATGATCTCCCCTGTCCTGTGGGGTGTGAATAGAAAGGGTGTATGCGTGTGAGTGAGAGAGAAAGTGTGTGTGTGCATGTGTGTGCTCACACACATGTGCATGCATGTGTGCCTAGAGGACATAAAAATAGTTATAATTTCAAGGACCAATCAAGAAATGCCAATCAAAATGTATTTGCTCTAGCATTAAAAGTTAATATATAATAATGGGAAAGATAACAGTGGCTAAAGCTGCATCAAGCTTGGGAGATGATTTTGTTGTTCCCATTTTGCAGATGAGAAAACTGAGTTCTAGAAAGAGTCAGGGACTTGCCTAATGTATCATTCCCAGGAAGCAGCAGCCCAAAGCTCAAACTCTGGCCAATATGATTCTACACATTCTAGGAATCAGTTGTTCCTTAAAATGTCAGGCTCGATTCACCTGACATCCACTTTTCTTTTAAATAAAGGGATAAACTATCTTCGATATTTCCTTTTATCTTGGCAGTCCCGAATGTGATGAATTTTGTTTCTTCTGCCTTGGTGCCTAATGTGGTGCCTTGCAGGACATGGCATTTACCCAGGTGCTTAATTCAAGGCCCAGTAGATGGAGCTAGAGAGCAGACACCAGCTTTCCTGGGGCAGTGAGCAGGCTCAATCCCCAGGAACACTCAGACCTTCCTGCTCCTTGTCCTGGCTCCTGCCAGCTTCCCACCCCATTCAGAATACAAGCCACCACTAGGCTTAGAGTGGAGACAAATGCAGTGACTCTGCCAAATCTGAAAGATCAAGGCCAGACTGGCATTTGCTACTTAAACTCAACTTTGGAAATATCTTCTAGGGAAAGGAAATGCCAGTTAGAAAGGAAATGCCAGTTAGAACAAAATGCCCAGTGTCACAGATAGCATCATTTTACCAGAGGACACAACCTTGGATTTAGAACCAGATTAATTCATATTTCTCTGTCTCTCTCTCTGCCTCTCTCTCTTTCTCTCTCTGCTGCCCCCCCCATTGTTGTTTGTTTGCTATGAATCAGAATTTAAATAAGGTCAAGTTGCTGAGGTTTGGTAACTGTCCAGCTTTCTTATCCCTGTGTTACAGCGTTTCTGATTTGCAGAAGAACTGAACAGCTCCTGCCGATGCCCACGCACTGCACTTCCAGTCTCCCTTCCTTCTCTGCACACCTTACATGACCACAGCGCACCTGCTCAAGAAAGGAATTGGTGCTTACGGCTCAGTGTCAACTAGAGTTCATAACTCAGTCAGTTCTCCTTGGTTTCCTTCCAGCGTCCTCTTCCTGCTCCAGGCAGAAACGTCTCCTTACATTTCCTTGTCTAGTCTCCCCAGCTTCCACTTGGCTGTTTCTCAGACTTACCTGTCTTAAATGACTTTGACAGTTGTGAGCATGTTCTGTAGCTATCCTGCTACACAGCCTTTGCTGATGTTTTCCTCAGGATTAGACTTTTCTCATGATTATATTTTTGGTATAAAAGTAAGAAATAGGAGGCAATAAAGTTCCATTTTCATCACACCCTGTACACCAGTGTGATTTATGACTGTTGATACTCAGCCTTGGTCACCTGGTATTGTCTATCAGTTCCTGCTTTCTTCCCCACCTTCCTATACCATACTCTCTGGAAGGAAGCCATTGTGTCAGCTAACACCTAAGGAATAGGGAGACGTGCTTCTCCTATACAATATTAGACAGCAACCCATGTGCAGAAGCTTTTTTGTATAAAAGTAAGAAATAGGAAACCATACGGTTCCATTTCTAATAAAGTCGCTATAGTGTTATTGGGAGGTGGCAGAAAGAGAAGGAAGTGGAGGCTGGTGAGGAAAAGTAAGGTCACTGGGAGTGTGGCCTTACAGGGGGCTATGAAGCCCTGAGTTCTTCCACTCTCTTTGATACTTGGCCATGACGTGAACAGATTTCCTCTGCCACAATGTCTTAGTTACTTTCCCATTGCTGAACACAATACCTGGCATCCATGACTAAAAGCAGAAATCTATTTTGGTTCACAGATTCTAGGGAATTCTGCGTAGGGTTGGCTGGCTCTGAGGCAGGAAGAGCGGAGTGGAAGAGTTTGGCAGAGGAATGCTGCCCGTGGCATGGTAGCCAGGAAGCAGAGAGAGAAAGGAGAGGATTGGACCGGGAGATGCCCCCTTCCAGCTCAGGCCCCTAGTAAACTGTCTTTTCTAACCTGGGCCTTCTCTCTGAGCTGAAGCTCCCCTGAAGCTCAGCTTACATCATTTAGGGCTGCTTCCCCAGCTAGCATCTCCAAACTTTCCAATTGTGTCTTTCATTCTAGTTCCAAAGGCTTCTGAGCCACGTGATTGGGTGTAGTCAGAGCAGTGAGCTGACTCTGGTAACAAAATCTGTTTTAGTCACTTTCTTGTCACTGGGATACAATACCAGACACCCACAACTTAAAGAAGCAAAGGTTTATTTTGTCTCATGCTTTCAGCCCATGGTGGGCTGGCTCTAAGGCAGAAACAGTGTGGTAGAAGGGTCTGGGGAAGGAAAATTGCTCACCTCATGGCGATCAGGAAGCAGAGACAGAAAGGAAGAGCTGGGGAAGACATAAGCCCTTCTAGGTCATGCTCCCAGAGAACTGCCTTTTCCAACCAGGCCCCACTACCTAACAGCACGTTTTACCACTGGTTCATCCACTGAGCAGTGTAGTACTCCCATGACCAATCACCTTCTAGAAGCCAGCCTCTCAACACATGAGAGCTGGGGAGACATCCTAGATCAAAACTATAACATACGCTCCCATCACGATGTACCATTACAGGGCTGGGGATTTAGCTCAGCGGCACGGCACCTGCCTGGCAAGCGTGACATCGTGAGTTCGATTCCTGGTACCAGAAAAAACAAAATAAAATAAAATAAAATAAATTTTTTAAAAAATGATGTACCATTATAGGCCCAAAGCAAAGGCCAGTGTAGCTCATAAGCTGAAATCTCCAAAACTATCAGATCAAATAAACTTCTCCTTTTTCTAAGGTTATTATCTCAGGTGTTTGTTACAGTAATGGAAAGCTAACACATCATCTTTAAGGGTGAAATACCTATGTAAATTCTATGAAAAATTTCCTATTCATTAATTCAGTTATTTATGTCAGCATGGACTCATATGTGTCTATTTTATGCTCTGTGTTTTAAGCCAATTCTACTGAACTTTGTTCCCCAAGTTGTTCCCACTTTGGCCATTATTGAGATGTCTATTTGGCTTTTGTACTCCTGGGATGTACCCTAATAGTAAGGCAAGCATTTTATTTGCTTATATTTACATCCCCTTCATCTCTTTCTTTCCTCTTTTCTTTCCCTTTGGTCCTGCCCTCTTTCCTGTTATTTAGGTACAACTTTGCTTTGTGTTCAAAAACCTGAGATGAATAAGAGAGTCCCTACCTTCAGGGAGCATCCAGACAGAGAAAGAGACAAAATAGAGGTGGATATACTTAAAACAAGGTGGTAAAATCAGCAGAAAGGAAACACAGCATGCTGCACAAGGCAGGGTGGTTTGGAAAGGGAGTGGTAGTGGAGGTGGTAGAGGTTCTTACTCACTGTCACACTGTGATCCTGAGAAGATCATTTCTTCTCCTTGGACTAGTACTAGGAATCATGAAAGCAAACAGGTTGGAGGAAGAGAAATATTGACTGAGGATAAAGCTAAACTTTTATTTCTAATAGCACACTATATTTCATGTAATATGTTTGAGTATTCTGTGCATGTATTCATCCATTTACTAAAATCATAGATGATGGACCAGGTGCTGGGACAAATGACTTACATTCAGTGACTCCTTCAACAGATTATTTACAGAGCACCAACTATGTATGGCTTTCTAATTCGTATACCCCTCACAAAAGTAGAGTCTCGTATACCCATTTACACCTATCTTTCAATGGACAGGCTCAGTCTCAGAGACCTTAAGCAGCTTGTTAGAAGCCCACCTGGTAAGAGGAGGGATAGGACTGCATCCCTGTTAGCCTAATCCCAGGGCGTGTCCCAGCTGTGACTGAGTCACTCACCTCACTCCTAGTGCTGTCTGCAATTGCAGATCTTGCTCCTGTAGGAGCTGGGACAGCTTAACAAGCACACTCACTGAGAAACCTCTCTCTGAGTCTTAGTGCTGTTGGTTTGAGCAACCAGTTTCTGTACAGACTCTATCTCCAGATTCCAGTCAGTGACCATCTACTATTTGACACTCCCAGATTGCTTGCTGATGCACTTCCTGGGTGAGTCACACAGGGATCAGTTGGGACAGGATGAGTAGAAGCTTGCTATGCCTCACAAGGCACCAGACAAGAGCTGAGCTTCCTCCAGCATTTCTACCTCAACAAAGACACATGCCATGTGCACATAACCTGCACGTAGTAGATGCAAGTTGAGGGTCTGGTTTGGTGAATGAGGAAGCTTTGGAAGAAGTGTAAAATGCCTGATTGTTTTCTAGGGTCAGTGCAGGGTAGAAGAAAGCCCTGCAGCTGGAGTCCAAAACAGGAACTGGAAACAGAGATACCCTAGTTATTGGCCCTCAACTGTCTGTAGGCCAGGAAAGAGAGAGAGAGGGAGACAGAGATTGAGAGAGAGAGATCCTGCCCTCAAGGAGCTAACTGTTCTGAGTGCCTGCAAATCAAGGGGCAGCAGCAATCATGTGGTGTTCATGAAATTGCTACTTACAGGAACCAGTGCAATTTTACAAGGGGCTCTCTTGCCCTTTTCTGAGTTCCCCTTCCTCCTGTGAGCTAGAGCAGCCTCTGCTTTTCACAGTGAACAGATGGTAACAGATATGACAAAACACACCCACCACACCAATAAAACTTAATGCTCAAATCAAGCAATAAGACTGTCTGTTCATATGCATTTATATCTCCCTGTGTAACAGAAGGAATCACAATCTCTAAGAAAAATGTCTTAAGTTAGTATGCAAAGGGCCCCCTCACCTCTCCTCTCACACTTCACAGATGACATCCAAGGTGCACAGGAAGAAGAAAGTAGAAGGGACAGGGCTTGGCTGGAGTTTCCTTTCCATGTCACACAGTGTGGTGGCATGGCAGGGAGGTGCTCTTCCCCTACCTCCTCCAAGATGAGTGTGGGCAGAGAGAAAATTTGAATCTTTCTCCCTCTCCCTTTCTCTGTGTACTAACTCTGCCCCTGCTCACTTTCAAGGCACCTGGCTGCAGTCTAGGACATGATGTTTTAGGGGTACCAGGAATTGAACTCAGGACTTTGCACTTGCCAGTCAGGCGCTTGTGCCCCTGAGCTATATTTCCAGCCCAAGGACATGATGTTAACATGCCTGAGCTCTGAGGGCAGTGCCATGTTTGTACTGGTAGCTGTGCAGCAGCTTTGGGCAGTGAAAATGGACAAGCTCAGCACTGTCCCCACAAAATACTCCAAGACTATGACCCTGAAAGTTTCCATGTGCATGTCCATCTACACAAGGAGAATATAGACCCGGGCACTTAGATGGAAATGGGGTCAAAGAATAGAAATTCCATAGCATAGTTTTCTATTTCATGCAAAAGCTAAGTAAAATTTATATTTTTGTCAATAATCAGAAAAACAGTTCTTAATAAATATGCCATCATCACGGGCTGGGGATTTAGCTCAGCAGCACAGCGCCTGCCTGGCATGCACAAGGTCATGAGTTTGATTCCCGGTAACAGAAAAAAACAAACAAATAAATGAATAAATAAATATACCATCTACATAAGCATTTAAAACAATTTTCAAATAGCTCAAATGTTAAAGTAGATAAAATTATTGGAGAATGTGGGGAGAACGCTTTCTGAACTTTTGTTGTGAAATAAGAAATCTGGGGAAATGAATAGGTAAGACAGTAGGGCAAATGCGTGAGGACCCTCACTTTACCCAGGGAGGACTGTTGAGGCGCCCCATGGAGATGTGAGACCTTCTTCTAGCTCCTGGAGAGGGCTCTTCAGGTAAACATGAAGGTGCTGGAGAAGATTCTGAGAAGGGTTTAGTCTAAATTCAACTTCTGGCACCTTGACAGTGGGATGGTTTAATCTGACCCATCACATCTGCAAAGTTAGTATGAGAATGCATGTTCCCAGCACATAGGTGTTCTTGGCAGAAGGTCAAGTTTTGGAGGAATGAAGGACGTGTTACTTTTTCCCTTTGTGATGTCATCATCTTTGTCCTTTACTGTCCAAAATCATCAAGATTCCAGGTCTGCCAAGAAGCAGTGACATGACTTTGAGAAAGTCTCAACATCTGGTACTAAGATTCCTTGACTATAAAATGGAGACACAGCAGCTCTGACCTCTGGGGTTCCTTCCAGGCTGGTGTGATTCAGTGCCTCTTCTGGCTTGCACTGTGTGCTCTGGTCATGCTGGCACTGGGATCTTCAGGACCCCTGACAGAAGCAGGCACAACGCTGTGAGACCTAAAGATGGCATTTAAGTACAAAATCATGAGAAGTAAGTTGGTGCATTTTCCGGCTCCAAGCTTAGTACTTCATCTTGAGAAAAACATACAACAGA